CTGCAGGCCCTGGGGGTGGCTTAGCCGGAATTCCCAGTAAAGGTCTCCTGGGAGAATGACATCTCCCTTTGTCTGGACTGTACACGTATTCTTTCTTTTTATTTCTACATATTTCGTGGGGATAATCTGAGACTGTCGATATTCCTCCCATTTCTTATCTTTCACCTACTGGTTTCAGCACCCAGTGATGTTTCGTGCCTGAATTATTGCTCTGGGGGAGGTTTATAATTCAATCACTCCTTCTAAATTCATTCTTTGTCATTCCACTGTAGGGGTTAAAAAACCCCAAACACTTTCTTTTTATCCTACTCATTTAAAAATCGACATCATTGTGGATTCATCAATTCCTATTTTATTCCAAGGGGACAAAGATTGATTACTATCATTCCTATTTGGATGCTCTAATTGTCCCAGACTTCTCTAGTGTGAACCCCTACAAATTGGTTCCTGTCCCTTAAACAGATCCCCATCAGTCTGGGGTGTGCTCTTAAACTGTCCCAGGAGCCTCTTACCGGGTCCCTTGCCTCAGTCCTAGAATCAGCTGTTCCTCTGAGCAGCTCTGGTTCCTTTCAGTGGAGAATGGTAGCTGGAAGCCGAGACTGGAGCCCCAGGAGTGCTCATGACTACTGGGGTGGTCCTGCTCCGGGCCCTCCTTGTGGACAGACTAGAACACCTTGGCAAAACTCTCTGGGACTAGGGTTTTCTTTGTAGGAAGATCATATATATATGTCACACACATATAATATGCCATCTTATTGTGGCTCTTACAGCTCTTATCGCAGTCCATATAGCCATTGCATCAAGCACCTTTGTACATCTGTTGCCATCATCATTTTCAAAACATTTTTTCCTACTTGAGCCCTTGGTATCAGCTCCTCTTTTTTCCCCTCCCTCCCCGCCCCCCGTGGACCCTTGATAAATTATAAATTATAATTGTGCTGTATATGTACTGGCATACATATATGCACATTCCTTATTTAGTTACATTTTAATAAAAAGCAATTCTATTTAAATAAATATAGAGGTGTATCCATACACTCTGGAAACGATGTATACACACGGATACTCCCAATTTCAAAAAGTCCATACACACCAATACCCTCAATTTCAGGCCAATATCATAGCTTCATTCTAGTTATTTCCTTTCCATATTTGTAATGATGCTTTCTGACAATAAGCCCCGCCCCCTAAATAAATATAAATTTAAAAAAGGCTCTCCCAACAGCTTCAGTCTATTCCTTGCTCCTCATGCCTCACCAACCACACGTGGGCTGCTGTCCTCGGCCACCCAGTCCGCCCCCTTCCTTGGGCCCACGTCATGGCTTTTTAACCAGATTATTCAGAAGGAAGCCAGGCATCCTTACTGCTTAGCTTTATGTTTGAAGTATTTCAAATACCAAGCGAGTACTTGTGTTTAAGGTGGACCTTCTAACTAGATCTCCAGTTCCATTAGCACTATTTTTATCTTGTCCCTCTGTGAACTAATACATCATCACCTTCATCCTAGAATAGTGTCACATCCTATGCATCTGTTTCTGAACTCTAATCTATCCTATGAATCGATTATTCAAGTTATAAAATCTGATAAGGCAACTATTTATCCCTGATTTTTTTTCCATAACTATATTTTTGCATCTCATTAAGTTCCAAAAATACTCCAATAACCCCTTGGGAACATATCCGAATGATATAATAATTTAGAATTCATATTTATGATAGTAAACCACCCTGTCGTGGAACATGGTCTTCTCTATTGGTCCAGGGTTGTTTTACAACCTCAGTAAGATGTTAATTATCTTCTTGTAAAATGCACAACCACAAATGCATCATAGCACTGACCATGCAATTTTCTATGTGGTTTTTAAAGATGCTCTTTTGAGAGTTAAGAAAGTTCTCTTATTCCTTATTTTCAAAGAATAAAAGTTTTCAGATAGATCATATTTTTTATAATGACCTAACTTATTAATAAAGTGAATTACATGAATAGATGTGCCAATAATAGACTAGCTTTTGTATTCCTAGAAGAGCTTCATTGCTATCTTCGTTTTGCCGATACTTTGTTTCAGAACCTTTAACCTGTGCTTCGTCTGTATCTTCCCCACAGTTATTTTGGTAGCGAGTTTATGCTTGCTTCATAAAATGAGTTAAAAAACCAGCCCTTTTCTTCCAATCTGCTGACGACGAATGTATGCAAGTCTTTAGTGATTTGTCTCTTGATTGTAGAACTCTTTGGTCAAACTCTCTGGGACTAGTGTTTTCTTTGTTTCATTTTATTGGCGGCTCCTACAGCTCTTATCACAATCCATACATCAGTTGTGTCAAGCACCTTTGTATATCTGTTGCCAT